CAACATGTCAAAGCCAAACCTAAGATCGAGGGGCCGCTTGCACTCAGCTGATCCGAGTACCCCACCCTCTGCTCCATCGTTGGCTAAGCCGACACAAAGCCCAGTGTACCTAGATCGCATTGATACTGTCGTACAAAGAGTGGTTGCCGTGGCAATGGAACGCGAAAGACAAAAACTCAATAATGACATGGAGAAGCGTGAAAATAAATTGTGTGAATTACTTGATGAAAAGCTCGCTAGTCTCCAGAATTTGGAAATTTCTATTGATAGCAAACTGCAGAAACTTCGTGACATTGAGAAATCAGTTTCTGATAATAAAACTGAAGTCAATGCTTTGTCAAATAGGCTTGACCACATCGAACAATACTCCCGCCGAAACAATATTCGCATTCTGGGAGTAAAGACTACTCCAGATGAAGACACAAACGAGATTGTTTGCAACGTAGCCCAACAGATTGGTATTACTCTCACCCCTTGTGACATCGATAGATCACATCGTCTTCGCAGACCAAACACCAACCCTCACGATGTCCAATCTCAAGGATCGTACGCCGGCGCAGCTCGAAACGTCAAGTTATCAACCCCGCCTATCATAGTAAAGTTCACTTCTTACAGGCCTAAACTAAAGATGATGAAAAATCGAAGAAAATTGAAAGGCACAGGTACAGTGATTGTCGAAGATTTGACTAAGAAGAATTCCAATCTTCTCTTCCAGACGTCGAAACACACAAAAGTTAAGGCTTCCTGGACCATTGACGGACGCGTTTTCGCGTTGGTCAAAACAACAGGCGGCCATGAGATGAAAAAACTTATTACAGGTCTTCCCGATCTTAACTCTATCTGATATATGTGACTGATAAGCCATTTTTGGATTTGATCATTTACTTGATCTTTCCACTGATTATTTTTATAGTAATTTTCTCGAATTTACCTTTTCCGGTGGAAATTCATTTTGCTGATATTATACAAATTTTGTCGATGTTTTATGTATTGTGGTTTTTTTTATTGTGTATACAGTTTTTTTGTTATGCCTGATTGTGATTTGTATCTTCAATTTCTCAAGACTTTAAATTGTAAATTCTTCCTTCCAACTTCTTAATTTCTCTCTCTCCCTTCCTTTTCTTCGTTTTTTCTCCTGTTATACTCCTAACTTTTTTTCTTTTTTTTTCTTCTACTGATACTGTACTACGATGTCATGTGTATACTGTAACTGTAATTGTAACCAATATTCTGTATGCCAGTGTTCATTTCCATGCTGTACTCATTCTTCATTTCCTTTTCAAGACTTGAATAATGATGAACTTTGTGCAATATTTGGTAGTAATACTACAGATACTCATACTGATATTAATAATTTAAACTTTTTATCTGGAAATGAAGATGAGTTTCATTTCAGTAGGTTTCTGAACTGTAAATATTATATTGATGAAGATTTTACGACTGAATTCAGTAACATTGACCATCATTTTAGTATTTTACATTTTAATTCCCGTAGTTTGAACAAAAACTTTAATGATATATCCAATTTCATCTCTACTTTATGTATAGATTTCTCTGTTTATGGTTTCTCTGAAACTTGGATTAATGACAGTACACCACTATTATTTAATGTGTCTGGTTAATCTTTTATACATTCTGATCGCCAAGAAGGAAAGGGTGGAGGTGTTGGTCTGTTGGTCGCTGACAATTTTGAATATGTAATACGCAATGATATATTATACCCCTGATGCGATTATGAATCACTGTTTATTGAAATCAATTTGCCGAGACATAAGAATATTATTGTAGGTGTTATATATAGGAAACCTCAATCAAATATCAATGATTTCATCCCTGTCTTTGAAAATTGTTTACAGAAAACTAATACTGAACATAAACAGGTTTATATAATGGGCGATTTTAACATTGATCTTATGAAATATACTGGCAATGATGTATGTAATTTCTTGAGCGCAATACATTCAAATTTTTTTATTCCTTTAATTGATAAGCCTTCAAGAATGACTGACAGATCAATATCCCTTATTGATAACATATTTACAAATAACTTTGATCTAAATGTTTCTTCTGGTTTGTTTTATAATGATATATCTGATCATTTCCCAATATTTCAAATAACACAAAAACAGTTTCCTATCTATAACATTTCTGTATATAATACTCGTATTATCAATGATGTATCTCTTAATGTTTTCAAAGAGGATTTGTTACGTAATGACTGGAATATTTTTAATTATACCGATGTAGTCGTAGCTTTTGAAAAGTTTTCGACAACTTTATCATTACTTTATAACAGAGCATTTGTAAAGAAAACTTTTAAATCTGTTCGTAAAAAGATTAGAAAACCGTGGATTACATTTGACTTGTATAAAAAGATAAGGAATAAAAATAAAGTATATAGAAGGTATTGTCATTCACCTACAGAAAATAACAAGAGGAAATACGTTCAATTACGGAACTACACTAATAAGTTATTAAAACTTGCACGTAAAGACTACTACAAGATGAAATTTTATGCAATAAAGGGAAATATGAAAAAAACATGGCAATTAATCAATGGTATCCTGGGTAAATCTCACAATGCCTTACCTAATTTCATAAATGTAAATGGGAAACAAATATCTAATTCTAAAGATATTGCCAATCATTTTAACACTTTTTTTGTAAATATTGGTCCATCTTTGAAAAATTCCTTATCCTTAGGCAATACTGACAAATTCGCCAAATTTTTACCAAAGCAAAATTCCAATTCTGTATATTTTAAAGCTGTATCTGAAAATGAAATTATTGATGTAGTAAAAAAATTGAATTGTACAAATAGTTGTGGCATTGATGAATTCAATCCTGATGTCATAAAGAATGTAATACACTATATTGTTACACCATTGTGTTATATTTTCAATTTATCGATTTCTACTGGAGTTGTTCCCTCTAGATTGAAAATTGCAAAAGTTGTACCTGTTCATAAAAAAAGTGATATTCATAATGTTGATAATTATAGGCCTATATCTATACTTCCTTATTTTTCAAAAATCTTAGAAAGGCTCGTCTATAATCGTACATATAGCTATTTATGCACAAATTCTATTTTGAATGAAAGTCAGTATGGTTTTTTAAAGCATGTGTCGACAGAAATGGCTGTTATTGATCTTCAAGATTATTTGATTAGTGTATTTAATAAAAAATTGCATGCTATTGGTGTTTTCTTAGATTTAAGCAAGGCATTTGATACAATTGATTTTTCTATATTATTATCCAAACTTGCCTGTTATGGGATAAGAGGTTTACCACTCCTCTGGTTCAAAAGTTATTTACATAATAGAACTCAATGTGTATCATTTAATGGTGTTTTATCTGATTATTCGGAAATCTCATGTGGTGTGCCCCAGGGGTCAATCCTGGGGCCCCTTCTGTTTTTACTTTATATTAATGACCTTCCATATTGTTCTGATAAATTGAAATTCATTCTTTTTGCTGATGACACCAATATCCTCTACACCTCAAATGACATTGGATCTTTATATAGCACGTTAAATATTGAATTGCGGAAAGTATCGAATTGGTTTAAATGCAATAAATTAATCTTGAATGCTGGAAAGTCAAATTTTATATATTTTCATTCCAAATATAAACCGGTTTCTACAGAGCTCCTCAATTCATATCAAATAAAAATGGATGATAATGTTCTTATTCGTGTTGCTAATACCAAGTTCTTGGGTATTTTTATTGACGAAAGCTTATCCTGGAAAACACATATATCCCATATTAATAAGATAATGTCCAGAAATACTGGTGTCATCAGCAAACTCCGCCATACTTTGCCTCAATCTGTTCTTCTTATGTTATACAATACACTTATATTACCGTTTCTTAGTTATTGCAACATTGTTTGGGCAAACACATACCCAACCAAACTGCATCGTTTATATATTCTACAAAAGAGGGTTGTAAGAAATATAACGCTATCTCATTATCAATCTCATTCAAGACCACTTTTTAAAAACTTGATATATTGAATGTATACCAGTTAAATGAATATTTATGTGCTATACTTATATTTAAGAACGAAAAAAGTCTGCTTCCTGAAAAGTTATCCGATATGTTTATAACAAACAGTACAATACATAACCATAATACTAGAAATAAGAAGAAATATCACCGATGGTGTGTTAATACAAATTTTGCATCATATTCTTGCAGACATCATGCACCTGAAATTTGGAACTTGCTTCCAACTAATATAACTTCAATCTCATTTTACAACAGTTTTAAACGTAATCTCAAAAGTTTCTTGATTGCGCATGACTCTCACTGAATGTATTTATCTAGCTTGTTACCCCTCTCTCTTTTACTCTCTCTCTTTCTTTCTTCTCCTTTGCTATCTTCTCACTTTTTCATCCTACCATGTTGTATATCATGTACTGGGTTTGTGCCGGTTGTTTTGCAATTTCTGAATGATATTATCCGAAACTTTACTTGCTACTTGTTTTCTTATTATGTTTATTATATCTAATTTGATAGGAAGCTGTCCAGACAAAACCTTTTCTTGGTTTTTTTACAGCTGTGCCTTATTCTGTTTTGTATTAATTCATTTCACATGTATATACTATCCCAATTTATGTATTATATTGTACATGAAATTGTATGTTTTTACTTTGTAAAAATGTTTTTAAAGATGGAATTCAATAAACTGAACTGAACTGAACTGAACAATGTTATTACATTCAGAAAGTAATAAGCCGCTTTAATGACCTCTCGAGAACGTTTGCTCGAACTTTTCGCTGTTGAGTCTTTTGTTTGGTGTCCATCTTTGAACAATGGACGCTTCCGTTTCATTTTCTTAATATCAATTGCCGAGCATCAGAACCATGAAGACATAATCATGCCGATTTCGTATCCTGGATATTCTTCCCATGTCTTCATTCATTGTAATCCGGGTCATATGATAAACAGGGCGCTGATCATGTGACGACATTCAACAAAATAAACGTACGCTGGATGAAGTGGGTGTCAAACCACTGATCACTTCCTCATTCATAGGCAAATCATTGTCTTAATCGGCGGCATGAAATACCAGCAGAGTGTTTATCGCGAATTTGTATTGAATGTGATTTTTTTTTAAGGATATTAGTAACATATAGCTTTTGACTTTCTTTGAAAAATCAAAAGCGCAAATACGTCGCTTGTGAAATGGCAATCTCTAATCGATGGATTAATGATGTCTTCTTGTGCCTGCTTCTGCCCCTGTTTGTCTCGGCCTCAGATAGAACAGCAGACAATCATATCTGTTATGATGATAGTGATATCCGGAAATCTCAATGTGAGGAAATAAACGTCTTTTTTTATTTATCTTTATATCTTTTTTTGTATTTTTTTTTTTTAAACAAAATTAAAGGTTATGGACCCCCGTATAAACCAGTTCTGGTCATGCGATCGCATTGTGAAGGAAACATTGTGGAATCGGTCAGAAAAGGTTCATCATCTAGCTTATAATTATTGGTGTTTATTGCATAGTTCTTGAGTCATCAAAATGATAAGAAATTTGGCCCAGTCTTGGAAAAGTTACAAGCACTGAACATAGAAAGATGTATTTGGGACTACGCGATATCTATCCAGTCCGGATAGATATAACACTTTACCAAATATATCAATTAGTTGGCGGTGTCCCGGCAAAATTTGTATCCTCACGTTTTAGTCGAAACATTTCTTTCACATGATTGGTAATAAGAGCTTCCATTTAATATTTTGAGAGGGTGGGTGTTTCCAAAACTTGTCTATACCTTTAATACCTACGTGTGTCAGTAATATCGATTAACCCATTTTAAATAATATATGATAATTCTTAGAAGTATTGAAGTCAGGATTAGCTAAAGTTGTTTTCAGACTTGGTTGTTTGAATAATGTATATTACAATGTATCTCTAAATCTAAATGCTAAAACTCTAAAAACTTTGTTTTTCTTTCTAGATTTGACGTACCATGGTTGTTATAACCTGTCTTGCTTTGTGCCGGAAACAAATTCAAATGTCAATGATATTGATCAATGTACAGACAAATGTAAAAGCGGAAGCCATTCCTATGCATCTTTGTTTAATGGAAGTCGGTGTTCCTGTGGAAAATTCCTCTGTGGTAGAGCTGATATGGTTTGTGATTTTAAATGTGGACTACCATGCAATGCTAGCCCGGTAGATTTCCAGACATGCGGTGGAAAAAAATACAGTCAAGTGTATGGTAAGTCTGTATTGTTATTATTGTTATTAATATTATGATCTTTATCGTCATCGTCATCATCATCACTATCCTCATCATTCTAAAGTTGAACACCAAAATAGACATGATCTTCTTCAAAATGTTGGACTTCCATATGTAATACAACATGTAGAAATTGAGAACATTACTTTAGATTTAATTTGTTTTAATGTAATTTCGGTATTAACAGTACTTGTTATATGTATGATTCTGAAGTATAACCTTAATTTTGAAATTCCATTTGATTCTTATAAATACAGCTGATTACCATGGTATAACATTTTTTACAATAACAAATGGTAAAAGAATTAAGATAATATAACCTGTATGATATAGTTAATAAAGTAAATTTATCTGATACTGAATCAGAATGACACAATATATCAAAGTTCTCAACTCGTTTTTAGCAGGTGTTAAGTTATTCAAGTTACAGATTGACTATCATCACATACATCTATTTATCTTTCCATTTCAGAAAAAACTTTCAGGAGCAAGTCAGGTATGTTTCCATATAATTCTGTTCCTAGCCAACGTAGTTTAAACAGTAGTATTATAAGGATCATGCAAATAAAGTTTATATTTTCTTTGCATGCCCATCTTTGTAATAAATTGTCTGAATTCGGGCAACTTCCGATTTGTGTAATGGGCTAGAAGTTCCCAAAAGCACGATCCCTACGATTTCTGGTTTCATCATATCATTTCCAACGTCTTTCCAGCTGAAATTTATGTACATTGAACAAACTTTTACAAATAAAAGTGGAGATGGATGTCGAATTTGTGAACAGTATCATATTATATGATCAAATAAAAAATATAGAAGAATCGGTTTGTTATAATCTATCTAGGATTGACGTTCGAAAGATCAAATGGTGTATTTTTCCTATCTTACTTTTTATTTGTTGAAATTAAAACTTAAGTCAAATGGATCACAAATGGTATGCCTAACTCGTGAATTATTATTTCATCTTGGATTTACAAAACAATAAGAAACTGCCATATTTCAATTTTTTCAATATTTGGGTATAGTCCCATACGTTTGTTGTTTATATTTTCATCTTCAAGATTTTAACTCTTTTTGTCATCATAATGCTTTAAGTAATTTTATTTCAGTAATTTCGAGATAATATGGGTTTACGAAATATGTTTTTTTTTAATAGTTTTTTTATTGATTCCAAACAATACAAATCAATCTTAGAAATAAAATGCAGTTGTTTTTCATTGACAAGAATTCAAAAAAAATTCATCACATAGATTGTACGATTGATAAAAACAAAATGAAATAGGTTGTAACATAAAACATACATCCCTCTCCACTGTCACACATACACACACACGCACACACACATACACCTACACACGATATTTCACGCTGTTGTGTACTTTTTCCTGTAATCATGATCTTCTAATAAGTATCTTATTATAAATGTTCTTATTATTTGAAAGAAATAGTAGAAGCACGGTTAAACATAATTGCACGAACACAAATCAGACAACCGGTTTAGAGTAAAATGGAGCCACTTAAAAAAAACGGGTAATTTTCCTCTCATCTCCTATTTTCATCAACAGACCTTGCTACTATCTCTACAGTCGTCGTTCTTGTCATATTCGGGATAATCGTTGCTGGCATCATAAAGGTTCGTTGGCAATGTATTCTGCAAGTAGTAAGAAACCGTGAACAAGCAGCAAGCCCCGGACCATCTTCACACGCAGTCAACCAACTAGAAGATGGCGACTATGTCGAACTCCGTCCTGTAGGTTCAAGGAACAGAGCAACGTCCGACCCCTTCCTCGATCTGAAAATAAAACCGGAAAGAAGCGGATCGGATGAATATCATGAGTACGCGGATGTTAACTATCCGACTAGATCCGCGTCCGCGCTTCGGATCGGGAGAGATGGATATCTGGTACCGGAATCATTCTCATAAACTACCGACTAAACAGTTGTTCACTCTACATCTATCAAACAAACAGGAAATTGAAAGAAAAATGTCGAGATAGACGATAAAACAGAATACATTGATTTTGAATAAATGTTTGATTTGCCAGCAGAAGCTTTGAGCGCCCTATGTTGCCCCCATGCTGTTCTCTTAAAGTGCACAGGCAGATATAAAAGTAGTAGTAGAATACTTGATTTAAGATAATAATGTTGAATAATAATAATACATTATTAAAACGGTGCTTAAAAGCGCTTACCACCGAAGTCTCTTAGCGCTGTAACAAACACAATACAGTGATTAACAACTACATATTAAACAAAACACAAAGAAAATGCAGATTACAATTCATATGAAATATTAATCAATGTGAACAGAGTAAGATAATCATCAAAAACAATTTTGAATAAATATGTCTTAAGACAAGTTTTGAATTGGTTAACAGTCTGATAGTTTTTGACATTTAAAGGTAGCTCGTTCCAAAGTTCAGCAGAAACTTTGCAGAAAGAGCGATGACCATAAGAAAGAGTTGACACCGAAGAAGACACGAGGTTTAATTGTGAAAATGACCGTAGATTACGTTTGGGTTTGTATTCCTTGATTAGTTTTTAAACGCCTTCCGTCTCTCTCTCTCTCTCTCTCTCTCTCTCTTTATTTTTTTTCCTTTCTCCTGCTGTCTAATTCTTATGTCACTTAACGCAATTCAAGACTTTCTTCTAAATCGTGATGTTCCTAAACTAAATGATAACAACATTTAGTTTAATCAATTCAAAACTGATTGTTGTATTCAACAGTTTAATGTATCTGAGTAGTCTGATAATTTACATTTAAAGTTTGATAATCAGTTAACCTAATGTACCATTGAATGTGATACTCTTATGAAAACTATCACAACACTTAATGACAATAATTTTGTACTTAAAAGGGGGTTTTGTTGAAACCTTCCCATTGATAAACATGTTTGGTTTGATTTGGTTTTTTAACATCTCGTGTTTTTTTTTCATCTCTTCATTAATCTATACATCAGAAATTGTGATATTATTGTACTAAACCCTGGTACTCAGCCATCCGTTGCAGAAAAAAAATATGAATAGGATTTTATTAGACAGAGAATTAGTCACTCTTTACCATGTAATAGATTTAAAGTTCATATCAATTAAAACTTTTCAATTATAAGCTATCAAAATCTGGTATACTTTTTTTAACGCACCTAATGTCTGGCACATTACAAATCCTAGCGATTCATTATTTTTACAACGAATATTTTAAGCAATTATTTCACGACAGTTCCCATTTATATCACCTAGGTGGAGTGTGGCAAATGTAGATCAATGTATTACCGAGAGGTATGAAACTACGCTGGAATAGGGAAATACTGGTTTGATATTAGAAAAGAGAAAAGGAGGGGACGAAAAGTCGCAGTTTTGCAGCGGTGGGCGCAGTGAGGGGGTGGTGCACAAATTGATTTGGGTACATAGAGAGAGAGGGGTAATGAAATACAAAAATTATGCTTAATTTAATTAATTTGTTTAGTTTTTATTTAAACAAAAACACGTCGCAATAATGTGTACAAGATTAATTACGGCATTCTTAAGAAATAAATAACTTAGGTTACATATTTGAAAGAACGATTGACTTGATTCATAATTTCTTTGTTAATGGAAAGTTGAGATGAGCGAAGAAGGAGGAAACTGAAGATGAGAGGATACAATGGCAAAGGGAGAAAGAGAAAGAGAGGAAGTGCCAATAGAGGGATTATGAAAAATGAGATCATGAAAGGCAAGATGTAATGAGATTGATAGAGATAGAGAGGGGGACCACGTCTAAAAGAAAATGACATCTAGGAAACAAAGTACAGAGATAAAAGAGAACTCAGCGAGGAAGTGAATGAGACAATAATTGAATGATAAATAGATTTAATTACTTAATTTAGCTGCTGTTATTTGTTTTAAAGGGATCTTTGTCGAAGATTCTGAAACAAAATCCTGGATTTAGCTCATGCTGCCATGATAATTATAAACATTTAGGTCAGTCAGAACTCCATGACTTTTTCAAGCCGATCGCCTGTCTGATTATCCAGATAAATCATTGTTTAGAATAGATTCTATACGTTCACAACCCCCCCCCCCCCCCCCCCACTCTAGAAAGAGTCATGGGTGTCGATACTTACGTAATACCTATTCATCAGGGGGATGAATGAATAGATCATCCCCCCCCCCCCCCTGATGAATAGGTATCAGTTACGGATCGACACCCATGGAAAGAGTCCAATCTTATACTCATCTGGACTCTTTGCAGATGTATATATGATAACGCGCCTGATTTTGAAGTAATTTTGGCACTTGAATTTAAGATTTACTTTACAGTTTACACATTTACTTGCTTTATTATCATTTGAAATGCGTTTTATATGTAAGTTTTTTAAAACTTGTATGTTTATATGGATTTCGAAAATGAAAACAAACACACAAACATCTTTCATCGCATGTTTTAATAATCATTTTAACAAAACTTATTGATAATAACCAGTTCATCAAGATTATGTTTACCATTTTGATAGCTTTCACTTTCTTTGTAAAGCGACAGGTCTTTTATTGTACATTACAATAAGAATTTAAACAAAACATTTTGGTAACGATTATTTCTCCAATTTAATGTTTTCCATTTAAATGGATTTTACTTCCTTTGCAAAGCCACAGATCCTTTATTATACAAGTAGGCAGAGTCTTTAAACGGATTATAAACCAGAGTCTAATCTCATGATAACATTTTGTCAAAATGTTTTGGATACTTTAAAACGTCATCTCCTGACATATTCTGCTAAATCCGAATCCTGGATCAGAAGCTATTCGGACAACTCATTAATTCCTATCAAAGAATGTTGATCAACAAACATAATTCATGTATCGTTAAATACACTGTTTCTTGATTGATACGAATGGAGGCACAATAATATTCTTAGGTATATTTATCGAACTGTGAAAGAGTCCCTCCCTCACGAACAAGTTTATGCCGATATTCAGGGTTTCACCGTTGCGGGCGGAACCATCCCATCCCATATTTATGTAACTTCTCAACGCCCAGATCTCGTCGTTATTTGGGAATCAATGGAACAAAGTTGCCTTTTGAGACAAACACCAATGCTGCTCATACGAGAAAGCTCGACCGGTACAAAGAACTTGTGGCCGAAGTAAGAAACAAAGGTTTAAGTGGTGACATATCATTCTATTGAGATAGGAGCAAGGGGGCAAATAAATAGGGACAACACAAATCGGCTAAAGTGGGTACTCAGGAAATGTTCAGTCCCTCTTCGCCCGAATAGTTTCTTTCAGAACATAAGTAGATACGCAGTTGTGTCATCCTTTGTCATATTTAATGCAAGAAAAGAATCACAGTGGAAAGATGTGGAATACCTTGACCTCTAATTAACACTCCATTCTCTTCAACGCTTCGACTCTCTTCTTCCTCTTCCTCTTCTTCTTTGCCTTATTTCGTCTTCTTCTTCTTCGTCCTCTTCTTCTTCTTCCTCTCTCTCTCTCTCTCATTCTTCCTAAACTTTTCTTCCTCGCCTACCTCTCCAACCTCCGCCTCCTTTACTCAATCCGCTTGCCTTTCTCCCCTCTTCTCTCTTTCCCCCCCCCCCCACCCCCCTACTTTCTCTAACTTTTCTTCCACTCCGGCCACTCCAAGTGGAATTACTTGTTTTCACTCGTTTACACTTTATCTCCAACTTATAATGTACCCTCTATTTTCCCATCTCTTTCACATTTTCTTACATCGTTTCCTATTCCCAGCCTTTACCCACATGCTCAGAAAATCATAATCCCCTTAAAATAATGTTTGTTTAATTATTTAATTTTTGATGCCAAGCTAAGCATTCTTGATGCAGGCACGATTAATGACTATTACTATACATGGTTGATATATGAATGTAATGTATATTGATCAATGATTAATGTATAAAATTGTAACTATACATGATTAATATATAATTGTTATTATTCATGATCGATATAATTATATCTGCAACTGTAATGCATTATTGTTTGTATATGTTTTATATGTAGTGCGACCTGCCATGGTTTCGGAAAGCGATCATGGACCTGGTATAGAATGTAAACATGTATCCCTTTAATATGAAATAAAGGCATGATTTTAACAACATTTACATGCACACGCCCTCTACGTCCTCAACAAAATAATTAGCTTCAAAATTATCTGAGTGTCCGAGAGATTTCAAGTGATAAAAGAAAATCAAACGTCACAAGCAGACACTGAAAAAAATCATACCTAATGTTTTTAATACTCAACTATATACTTTGCAAAAATAGTATTTAGTAGCAAATATTGAAAATAGTGAAAAATCTGAACCACTATCTTTGAAAAAGAGTAAGTTGCTAAAGGAGCAACAGACAGATCCTCAGTTGATTTCTTTGAATGAGAGAGCTGTTTCTGAGGAAGAGGCATTGACTGTGCCTGTTTGTTATTACAAGAAAGCAGGTGTGCTAATGAGAAAGTGGAGGCCAGCAGATATCCCTGCAGATGAGGTGTGGAAAGAAGTCCACCAAATTGTAGTCCCTTCTACATACAGGCAGGACATAATTAGCCTTGCTCATGAAGCTTCACTTGCAGGTCACTTAGGGGTTTACAAAACCTAGGAGAAAATTCTTTCTCATTTCTTTTGGCCAGGTGTGCAAAAAGATGTTGCAAATTTTGCAGAAGTTGCCACACATGTCAAGTTGTAGGTAAACCGAATCAGAAAATACCAGCAGCACCATTGAAGCCAATACCGGCGTTCGATGAGCCATTTTCTAGGATCATAGTAGATTGTGTAGGTCCTCTGCCAAAGACTAAGGCAGGTAATGAATACTTATTGACGATAATGTGCGTATAAAGAAGTGTGCAAGATTGAGAGAGAGAACCCATGTGTGAAATTGAAAAATTCAGAGGTTCTAGCACACATCAATAACAAACTAACACACTTATCTGTGAAG